GAACAGAAGTGGACCAAGAACGGTTCCTTGAGGTATACCGTAAGTAATTGTTTGCGGTGTGCTCATTACTCCATCGATTTCTATTATTTGATCCCTATCTGATAAATAACTTTCAATGAGTTTGTAGGTATTTCCTCTTATACCATACTTCTCTAATTTATTTAATAACGATTTGTGGCAAACGGTATCAAATGCTTTAGAGAGATCTAGGAAGATATACACACAGCAGGAATATTATTATCAAACGAATCATAAATAAGAGAAGTTAACTTATATATCGCATCTTCAGTCGACCTAGATTCTCTGAAGCAATACTGCCGATTGGATAAAATTTTATATTTTTTTAAGAAGGAACAAAGTCTAATTTTTATTATTTTTTCTATTATTTTCGAAATATTTGACACCAGTGATACAGGCCTGTAATTAACCATTTCCGTTTTTTTTTTTTTACTTTTATAAAGTGGTTTAACTAGACCATTTTTCAGAATTTTCGGAAAAGAGCCTGTACTAAAACATTTATTTATTAAGTAGGTTAGTGGACTTGCAATCTCATTAGATATTTCCCTTAATGTTTCAGACCTTATACAATCGAGGCCTGGTGACTTCTTAAGTTTCAAATCTTTAATTGTATTAATGACCTCAACCTCATCAGTAGGGCTAAGGAACATAGTACTTTCTAAGCAATTTATATTTTCTGTATAATTTGTTACTTTTCGTATTTTTTCAGCTATATTTAAGCCTAGTTCACAGTAGTATGTATTAAATTCATTTGCAATATTCAATTTGTCAGTAATTTCAGTTCTATTTAATTTAATTTTTTCAATAGTTTTTTTAGGTGCCGTTTTGCCGCAAACCTTGTTAATGCACTCCCACAAAGCTTTGGAGGAATTTTGATTTTTTTGGATGATTTTTCTATAATAGTCCTTTTTTGCTTTTTTAACTAATTTATTTATATTATTTTTGTGCACATTGTATTTCCTTTTTGTTTCTAAATTATCGGGATGTTTTAAGGTTAATTTGTACAATTTATTTTTTTCATCAATTAATTTTACTAATGTAGGATTCATCCAATTTTGTAATATTTTTATTTTTTGTTTTATTTTTACTTTTTGTGTATTTTGATTAATGTGATATTTAAGAGTATTAATAAATTTTAGAGTTATATTATCAACTCCCGTTTCATTGTATACCTGTTCCCATTTTTCCATTATTAAAGCATTTTTTAGTAATGGATAATTTATGTAATATTTGTACTTTAATTGCTGTTTTATCTTAATGCTGTTTTGTTCTATTTCCAACGTAAGGGCTATGGGACAGTGATCTGTAATATATCTAAAAATATATGATTTAGCTTCAAGCGTGTTGCGATTAGATACATAAAAATGATCCAAGCATGTTCGACTAGGTAAACGAGTGTATTCGTTAATGTATGAAATGTATCCAAAAGAGGTCATTATATTTTTGTATTCTTCTACTGTTTCATCATTGCTGTTTAATAAGTCTATATTTATGTCACCTGTTATAATGCTTATATCGTGTTTTTTAATGAATTTAAATAATTGATTCTGATTAAAAATGTTTAAACAAGTACTAGGTGATCGGTATATGGATTTAATTACAATTTTTTTATTTTTTGCTGTGACTAAGCTAGAAATTGCTTTAATATCCCCAATATATATATATATATATATATATATTTTTATTAGATTTCAAATGATTTTTAACAAAAACCAAAACGCCGTCATTTTGGTTTAGATTTCCATTATTGTATATACTTTCGTATCCCTGAATATGGTAGATATTATGATCATATAGCTGCCAGGTTTCAGATAATACTATCAAATCAAATTCAGCATGCATGTTATCTAATAATACAAGAAGTTCATTCATGTTTTTTGCTACGCTGCGAATATTCATATGAAAAATTTTGAAAAGCTGCTGGCATCTGAATTTCAGTTGATTGAATTGGATGATTATTGCCGCGTTTGAGAATCCACATCGGATGCATTTTTTACATCTCGAGCGTTTTTTTATCCACATCGGACACATCTGTCCCATTACATTTACGTATACTGAATCACGTGATCAAAGATTTTTTACATCTCAGATGCATCCGATGTGGATTCTCAAACGCAGCATTTGATAGTCCCTAATATAAGCATCCATTTCAATTAATTTTAATAAATATTAAAATTTGTTGAAAAATAAAATTTCTACATTACAATACAATATTTAAAACTACAGGAGTACCTATAATAAAAGTTAAAATAAACTTCCGGTAATGCTAAAAGACACAAAAAATGAGGTATAACCTAATTTAAAATTTAAAAATAACTATTTATTTAATTAGAAGTTGAGTTTTTTTGATTTCTGGTTACCCGTTTTGTAACCTCTGGTTCTGAGTTTTTCTTTAATTTTTTTGTTTCTGATTGTGACGACTAGTTTTCTTCTGAGGTAGAGTTTCTTTTGTTGTTTGCTAATGTTTGCTAATGTTTCTATTGCATTCGGTATTTTTATAAGATCTTCGTATTTGTATTCTTTGTCTTCTACATAGGGGCTATTCTTTTCGATTTTTGCTTTAAGGTTGTAACTCTTAGCTAATTTTAGATTCTGGCCCAGTATTTTTTTACGTTGATAGTCTGTTTGAGTTAGATCGTAAGCAAAGAACAACTTACTTCCTTTTAAGATTTTAGATTTTCCTAATATCTTAGCTTTTAAATAGTAACTCACGCATTCAATGATTAGTGGTCTAGGTTTGGTGCTAGTTATTGTGCCAATTCTGCGAGTGTCTCTAAAGTCGTTAAAATTGCAGTTAAGGTTTAGTTGGTTTTTCACTATATCTATGAGTTTCACTATATCTTGCTGGGATCCTCTTCTTTAAGACCATATAGTACTTATTATATTATATATTTTTTTGGTTTCGTTCAACTGCTAGAAGTTTATTTTTTAGTTGCTGATTTTCTTCTTGTATTTTATTGTTTTCCCTTTTGATTTCAGAAAGGTCTCTATTGAAATCGTATTTAAGTTGTTTTATTTATTTCTCAAGAGTTTCTTTTAGCTCTGTATTTTGCTTGTTAATTTCAATTATTTGTTTTTTTATAGCCTGATTTGATTCATTTACTGTCTTAAGAAGTTGATAAATTGTTGCGTTACTGACTTCTTCTTTCTCCATTTGATAAATTCAATATGTTAGGCGACTTTAGAAAAAGGATACAGTTGATTATAAGAGTATTAGATCATTTTTTATTTAAATTAAACCAGAAAATACACCCATAAAAAATATAAAAATTGAATAAATTTTACTAAAAAATTCCAACAACCTTACAATTACATGTTTTTGACGTTTATTCATTAAAAAATATCTCCCCAAACCTAATAAATATTCAAAATTTGTACATTTTTAAGAGAAGAATGGGACTTTCTGATGGTATGAAAAAATATAGGGTGTTCTATTTAAAGTAAACCGATAATTTTGCTTAAAAAAAGGCAATTTTGTTTCCGTCAGTTACGAGAAATAATATACATTTGGCAAATATGTCAACAAAAACTTGAAGAAAATGTAAGAAGTTTAGTGAAAACTGCATGTCAATATCTTTTTCGATTCTCGAGTTATAAGTTGTTAAAATGTGTTACTTTATAGTATAACTATTTATCTGAGAATTTTTCACCGTGTATTCGCAGCGAACATTGGCGTTTGTCTGGGAAACAACAAAATTTCGAGATGGCAACCCATGTAGAGCTGTAGGCAATGACTCATTTGAATTATTTCAATAAAATAATTATCAAGAGATGATCCCAAGTAAAAACATGAATTTGACATAAGAAAATGGTTAAATTTAATGAGATTTCATTTTCTTAACAACAGTCGTCAACATTTTTTATTAACGAGAAAAATTGAAAATGTCAGTTACCATTGGTGAATATTAGTAGGTACTACATATATTTTGTTTTTAGTTTTCTTTTTATACGACCACAATAAACTAGGTATATACCAGTCCTTCTGAATCACATAAATAAGTTAATAAACAGGGAGAAATAATCAAATAAATAATAATTGATATGTTTACAAAAATAACATATTTTTAACTTTTAATACAGTAATTTTCACTGATTTACAATTACAGTATTATTACAATCATTGATAATTTTATACTTTTTGATAAACAAGTTTATTCAATTCTTTGGGTGCCCAATTATTGGAGTAATAGACAATATTTGAGCTCTTTTCCCTCAAACAAAAATTAGGTAGGTAACAGATGGAAATTAAAAAATTAAAAAATCTAACTTGAGGGTTACGTGTCGATAACTGAAATAACGAAATTGTTTCATTACAATATACAGTGTGTTTTTAATTTGTTATTGGCTCATAAAAATACAATAGAATAGATCAAATTTTAATCAGTCTCTCCGAAAATCACATATTATTTATTTCCTCATCTTAGGTTTTTGTTTGATAGTATACATAATTATCTTAAGGCTGTATGTTACGATACTAAATTTAGAACTAAAAATAATTGTTTCCGCTTGAAACGATACCAATTTTTAGTACTAAATTAAGTATAGGCACACGCGCACGTATTATTACGTGAAATTAGCCCAGCAATGAAATATTCTGTGTAAAATAAACAAGTAAAGTGATAGATGTTTTTATTATAAAGTTGACTTGACAACAACCAAATACTGCAATGCTACTAAAAACCACGAAAAAACACAATAAAACCTATAAAATCAAACAAGCGAAATTTATCCAAGGCGATAATGCAAAAACAACTTTTTCTGTGAAAACATTTCGAAGCATTTTTAGTACTAAATTTAGTAGAAAATAGAACAAGTTCTAATTAATTAATTTTTTTAGTACTAAATTTAGTATCGTGATACAGCCTTTAGAAACATTCTAGACGTCTTTATAAATACAGAGACTAAGCAGCGCAGCGAGACAGCTGAGTCATATTTTTTGATCAGAACCTTATATACCCTAAGGTGTTAAGGGGTGTTTTTTTTTAATTATGTTCAAATTTGGACCATTCATGTTTATTTCTAGCCTTTATCTTTCCCTCCTGCCAATTTAGTCCATGTTCCTTCAGGATTTCCGCTACTGCATCATCCCAGGTTTTTTTTGGTCTCCCCCTAAGTCGTTTTTCACATATTCTTGTTTGCCATATAATTTTTGCTTCTTGTTTATTTTGCATACGTATTAAGTGTCCAAACAATCTTAACTGATTTATTTCTATGCTTTTAACTAGGGGTTCTATTTCTAGCTCCGCTCTTATGTATTCGTTTCGAATTTTGTCACTTCTAGTGATCCCTAATATCGCTCTCAGATACTTCATCTGAACTGTTTGTAGTATTCTTTTGTTTGTTTTGTTAGGGCCCAGCTCTCACTCCCATATATTAAAATAGGTTTAAAAACATTATATTAACAACATAATAATAGGAGGAATGAGAATAGTATCCAGGTAGACTCATCTTGCAACAAAAAGTGAATGTTTTAAAATGTATGCCAAAGTGTTCACAATTTGTTACTTGATAAAAGAAAAACATTTAAAATAGCGAAATTATAAAATTATAAAAACTTTTTTGGAATGAAACCGTTATTTAAAATTATAAATAAGAAAATATACGTTAATTTAACTTTATAAACACTTAAATTATTGTGATAACATCGTTCTTCAAGAAAGATCGATTGAAATGTTTTTCCTCAAAATGTCTTCAACACGCCGGGACACTCACTATATTTAGTCGGTTACCAATAATCTCTATGTAAAAATGGTATCTATATAGTCAGTTTTTCTGAATTATTTAGAAATTTGTAAATGATAATGTTTATGTAGATAACCATTTTTTTTAATGCGACTCTGTTCACCAACTTATGATATGTTATTCTCATACCAGCAATGTTATTCCCTATTATTTTTGATTTCCACACGATCTAGGCTGGTACAATTTGGTAAACTACAAGATAACATTATGTCCTCAAGGTCTTTCAACTAATACTAAATAAAAACGAAACGAACGCAATAAATACCGGAAAATAAAACACACACACCACAAAAGTTTTAAGTAAATGTCACAAATGACATTAGGATAGTATATGAAGACTATAATAGGATAGTAACAATATGGCGCCGATGATACCCCTTCAGTACAAGAGTAGGCATTCCTCTCCCTACTACCTCCATGGCAGGAACATACCAGTATTTGTGTATCGTGCCAGGTTTCAGAAACATTTTCAGTGAAATATTTAACTAAAATATTTCAGAAACTTGTGCTTGAAATGTTATATATTTGAAACGTTTTAAATATTTCTGAAACACTTCTGAAATAATGTGTGGTGTATGGGAAGAAAGCAGGAATTGGTGTGTCATTTCACAAATTTCTCAAGGCAGTAGATTTTGTTTCCCAGACGATTTAAAGTAAATGGATAATAGACGACGCGGGGCTAGAAATATTGATCCTCTAAAAAAATCATATTTTCTCTAATCACTTTTCGCCCACTCATTATGAAAGGGATTTGCAGAATGAATATTTAGATAATTATGTAATTTTTTCAATCAATTTTCTTCCCTACAAGACTGTTATTTATGTTTGTAGGATTGCCATCTAAGAAAAATAAGTTAAAGACATCAGTTCCCAATAAAAATCTTCCACATGTGGTTTTAGCTGTAACGGAAAACGGAAGTGAACAACGAAAACCAACGATATCGTCAGAAGTACCTTTAGGAAATGGTTCAAAAAATGCCGACTACAAAATAAAATATGTATGTATTTTATTGAAATATTGTATATTTTGTGTTTTAAATAGATGATTTATTATTTTTTTATACCTACCCTTAATTATGTGGTCGCAGGGTAAAACTACTCGAGTCAAAGTTTGGCCATATTGAGTTAATTACAATATCTAAGAGAATTTCTAGATTTTCTTTGAGTAAAACGACCTAAGTATCAAAACGCTACCCTTTAAAGAATAATACAGTTGAAAAATATAGCTTATGTAAAATTTCGCTTCTTAATAATCTGGTAAAACTGGAGTGCGTTTAGAAACCTCGCACAGCGCGTTTCACCACATACATTAGAATAGGGTCCAGACGCGCCGTGCGATGTTTCTAAACGCACTCCTGTTTAAGTAACTTGTGATTGTCATGGGAATGCCTAATGCCTAAGGCGTACCTGTAGAACGCGACCTTCAGCCTGCCACTCGACTCATGGTCGAAACACGCTTCTCGAGAAAATACCACAACAAGCGGTGCGTGATGTTGAGTCATAGAGATGGAATTTTCAGATAACATTCGAGAGCGCCTAGAAAGCCCAGAGTATTCTGGTTACAGAGTTTGCTTGATATAAATATCGCGAGTTTGAAGACGGAAGTGTAGTTTAGAATAAAGTATTGGACTGAAAAGATAAATTGTAATAAATAAATTAGAATTGTGAGTTAGTACCTAAGTATTATATAAATTAATTATAATAGTACGTCATAAATAAATTGTAAATAGTGTGTTTTAAATAAATAAACTATAAATAAATTAAACTAGCGTCACATTATATTAACACAAAGATCACGACTTAAGAAGTTTTACCCTGCATCCATAGAATTGTCTGGAAAAGAAGTTTTCTGTAAAAATTTAAAAATCGTAATTTTCAATATAAAAGTGTGTTTATATTATTTTGTACGTAGATTTGAGGTTATGAGCAGTATTTCATGACGTCATTTGACAGTCTGACATATCTATTTCAGTGGCCCATCCTTCTCTTTAGTTTATACTTGCTTCTTGGCGACGTTATTAACCACATTAAAGGCACCAAACCATAATATATGTAGCTACATCTACAAGGCATTAATTTATAAGCTTACTATAATAAAAAAATAACAAAATCAAAAGATCCTAAAATTTCTAAAATTCAAATTCCGCTTAGAAATATCTAAACTTAAATTTGACATATGTTATTCACTTCATAGTTATTTAATAATAGGGCAACCACGGTATGTGTGACGTCACCACAGTAATCACAATCACAGAACTCTTACCAAAATACTGTAAGCAAGTATGAAAGAAATGCCTTTAATTTATAGGCTGGCTCACGAGCTGTAAGGTATAGAATAGAATATTATTATCCAGATTGCCTCCGTTAGTTTTTTTTTATTAAAGGAAAAGAAATATACTGTACTGATACTTTGCACTTGGCCACATATTTATTAAATTTTATATGTTCTTTCTCTCCATGAGAATAGCAGCTTTTTTTTTTTTTTTTCGAAATGACCGAGTAAATTATTTATGTGCCCTATACACTATTTATTATAAATTTTATTATTTTAAACATTTAATATTTTGTTTCAAAACTGAACATTCTATAGTTACAAGTATCGCAGAAATATTGAACTATAAGCAGTCGTACGATGAAGATGCATAGCGGGAAAATAAAAAAAAGGTGTATAAGTGTTACAACCGCGTAGCTTCTGAACTTGTCGACACGACATTTTTCACGTATTCACCCCTAGATGTCCTCGCACTATAATAGCCAAAATTAGGATCAGTTGGACTGAGTACGCTTTGCCGGGGACTTTGGAAAAAACGACTTTCAGATGTTTCAATCCCTGTAAACAAATAAAAGTTCTATACCATAAAAATAATAGAGAAAAAGAAATGTATTAGGTAAGTCAAAAAGAGTGGACTATACCTGGAGAAGAATCTTCTAAGCGTTCACAGGAGGCAGTAGATTCTGATAGAGTTTCTTGCGAAAACTTGTGCACTGATAGAAGGCTTTCTGTAGATTTTGTTGGTTGTATGTATCTAAAAGAGCTGAGTTAAAAATTAACTGCATAGGTACTATGCATAGTTATTTGAAACACAATACCTTCGATGTGAATGTGGTGTGTACTGAGGTTGCCCTGAAACACAAGTGCCTTGTTTATCCATTCTAATATATTGTGTTCCTTGATTTTTTGTCGGTGGACGGCCACTTTTTCCACATTTCGATGCATTGTCCAGATATCCATATCCAAATCCATACCCCCCAAATGATTTTGTCGTTAAGTTATCCCACGATTTTGGTTTTACCTAAAAGTGAATCAATTAATTTGTATCATTTTTCTTTTAAATATCCGAAGAAAAAACATCTAATCGCTAAAATTAGGAAACTGCACTATATTTTCATGAAATTTTAAAATATCACTGCAGTATGGTGCAAATGAAAGAAATAAACTTCTGAAAAAATCCTGAAAACTTTCGATTTTTATTTTCATCTGAGCAAGCGTGATGACGTCGCCGGTGATTTTTATTATTACAATTATTATTCTTGTTTATTAAATACAACCAAATTCAAAGGATATACTCAAATCGACGACCTATTATGTGTAAAAAATGTTACACTACTAAAGAATACTTTTTATATTTTTAGGTTTTCTTCTTTTATTTTATTTTTTATTATTACCATTATTCCATAAGATTTTCTGTTAAATATTAGTTCAAATATATATTTAATTGATTTTTTTTTATAAATAAAATAAAATACATTTTTATTCCTACAAAATAACCAATATAATAACAATAATGATGATACTATTTTCAGCGATTTCAGGTGGTGTGCATGAAAATTTTTCGTCGCTCGACATTTTTTTAAAAATAAGTGAGACCTATCTACCCTTTCGACTAACGGCAAAAGATTGAAACTGTCATAAAACACGAATCTCTTAGAAACTGTCAAACATTTTACAGAAAATATTGGGTCTGCCTACTTTGTTATTTAAAAATCTAGATTTCTATTGGTCAATTTTTCAGTTTCAAAATGAAAACCAGTATTATAATAAGTATCATTAAGAAACTGAAAATTGCATTTAATTAAGAACTTATAGTATAGGAGTAGAAAAAATAACTTTGCTTAAATGCTTAAATCTGCAAAACATTCGGACAAGACTGTAAAACCGGGACGAAACAGGACATTTCTTTTACCCAGGGTAGCACCTATATAAAGTAAGCAAAAAACTTAAACCTGCACCAGCTAAAACGGGATTGTTAATTTGTTAGCCACCTTAAGTAATATCTATACGAGTTTAGTTTACATTTTTTAAGGAACACAACAAAACATTAAATACTGTTATTTACCTGGTTGTATTGAATGTAGATGGTCTCGTATTGTTGAGGTTGTTGTGAGTATCTGTTGTGGTCATGTTTATTAGATTTGAGACTTAATTGTCTAGAAGTATCACAGGAACCGTCCCAATAAAGGGTATCGGTGCTAAGAGAAGTCGTGTAGCTGTTAGCGGAACTTTCAGCTAGGGTAGTGGTTGTCGGCACTACGTTACTAACTTCACTAGAGGTACATGAATGTAGACTACACTGACTTACTAGGCCTGCTCCGATATGAAAATATCTGAAAATTTAATAATAATAATAATAATAATAATAATAATAATAATAATAATAATAATAATAATAATAATAATAATAATAATAATAATAATAATAATAATAATAATAATAATAATAATAATAATAATAATAATAATAATAATAATAATAATAATAATAATAATAATAATAATAATAATAATAATAATAATAATAATAAATAATAATAATAATAATAATAATAATAATAATAATAATAATAATAATAATAATAATAATAATAATAATAATAATAATAATAATAATAATAATAATAATAATAATAATAATAATAATAATAATAATAATAATAATAATAATAATAATAATAATAATAATAATAATAATAATAATAATAATAATAATAATAATAATAATAATAATAATAATAATAATAATAATAATAATAATAATAATAATAATAATAATAATAATAATAATAATAATAATAATAATAATAGAGGCTAATGGCCGTAGTAGTCGACGCCGATGACACCAAATTAAAAAAAAAAAAAAAAAATAATAATAATAATAATAATAATAATAATAATAATAATAATAATAATAATAATAATAATAATAATAATAATAATAATAATAATAATAATAATAATAATAATAATAATAATAATAATAATAATAATAATAATAATAATAATAATAATAATAATAATAATAATAATAATAATAATAATAATAATAATAATAATAATAATAATAATAATAATAATAATAATAATAATAATAATAATAATAATAATAATAATAATAATAATAATAATAATAATAATAATAATAATAATAATAATAATAATAATAATAATAATAATAATAATAATAATAATAATAATAATAATAATAATAATAATAATAATAATAATAATAATAATAATAATAATAATAATAATAATAATAATAATAATAATAATAATAATAATAATAATAATAATAATAATAATAATAATAATAATAATAATAATAATAATAATAATAATAATAATAATAATAATAATAATAATAATAATAATAATTAATAATAATAATAATAATAATAATAATAATAATAATAATAATAATAATAATAATAATAATAATAATAATAATAATAATAATAATAATAATAATAATAATAATAATAATAATAATAATAATAATAATAATAATAATAATAATAATAATAATAATAATAATAATAATAATAATAATAATAATAATAATAATAATAATAATAATAATAATAATAATAATAATAATAATAATAATAATAATAATAATAATAATAATAATAATAATAATAATAATAATAATAATAATAATAATAATAATAATAATAATAATAATAATAATAATAATAATAATAATAATAATAATAATAATAATAATAATAATAATAATAATAATAATAATAATAATAATAATAATAATAATAATAATAATAATAATAATAATAATAATAATAATAATAATAATAATAATAATAATAATAATAATAATAATAATAATAATAATAATAATAATAATAATAATAATAATAATAATAATAATAATAATAATAATAATAATAATAATAATAATAATAATAATAATAATAATAATAATAATAATAATAATAATAATAATAATAATAATAATAATAATAATAATAATAATAATAATAATAATAATAATAATAATAATAATAATAATAATAATAATAATAATAATAATAATAATAATAATAATAATAATAATAATAATAATAATAATAATAATAATAATAATAATAATAATAATAATAATAATAATAATAATAATTAATAATAATAATAATAATAATAATGTGTATGTATGAATATTCAGTTTCTTTTTAAATCCGGGGTAGCTGTGAAAGTCAAACATTTGCTCACTCTGTATAGTAAGACTCTGCCAAAGTTCTTCTTCGCAAACAGATCAAAATAAATTTACGTTGCCACATCGCTTTCCGTTTCTCTTTTGATATTATGAACTCTTATTGTTTGAGAAATATAGATATTTGTATATAATTAATAAAAGATTTTTAAATTAAAAACCTTTTTGAAATTCGATTTTGTCATTAAAATACCAAAGGATTTTCATAGGTATATCGATACTTTTTGCCAAAAATGACATTTTATATGTATCGTAAGTATTTCATATGTAGTAACATTCTGTCAAAGTATCGGAAGTCTATCAAGCTTTGTTGACCGTTAAAAATATAATTAAGATAATCGTAACCATCTTCAGAAAATTTAGTGACCGGTAAGTGACAATCTTAAACAAAATAAATTTCGCCAATTTATCGTATGTAACAGGCTTTATTACTCAGATATAAAACATATCATTTTCTGGTTGATAAATTATTTTTTTTATTACTTTAATTTAAATTCACAATATGTTATCCTAACACAAACGATTTCTAACGACATACTGACTCCCCAAGAGCCAAACAGTCTATTTATATATAAATGTGACGGTTTTGGAAGATTCTATACAGCACACCTTCACCATTTTCTAGACCGAAGTAACTAAGTGCCTTCGCTAATAATGGTAATTTCGAGATCATTCATCAAAGGGCCTAGTGCATTCCGGAATGATCATTCATTTCGAACCGTGACCATCGTCATCGCCTCGGAGGTTAACTTATTTTACTGAATATTCTTGGTAACGGAAAAATGGAGGCCATAAATGGCCCAAATAAAAAAATTAGAAATGTAAGATTTAAAAAAGAAAAAGATACATTTATCAAAAATTCCATATCAATAATAAAAAAGAATAAAAAACACTGAAAAAGGTCGCCCAACTTGGGGCCGAAAGCTTTGAATAATCCAAACAACGGTATGAAGTTTTAATTATAAACCGTATCCCTAAAGAAATCACCGATTAAAAGAAATCTTTAGAGGAAAGATTTGAGAAAAGAAATTTGATACCTATTACAAATTTCACATTCAAGTAAATTGAGTGTTTACCAAATTCACATTGACGAAAACTGCCTCTTCTGAGAACCACCTACGATATGCTCTCAAATATCTATATCGTATAATAATTATATGTTTTCTATTTATGACATATTCGCTCAGTGCGAAGTCATGGTAGGGGAAGCAAAAGCGATACTAGCACTAGCTGCGGATAATTCGGGCATTTTAGGGCGATATTTTGTAATTTTGGCATATCAAATACAGGTATACATTTAACTTTTTTTTTTTTTTTTTTTTTTTTGCTGTGTTGAAAATTGTAAAAATACTAGCAACAAAAACAGTGTAAATTATAAAAAAATTCAGTAGCAAAGTGGAAATTAAATCAGAAATAAATGGATACCTTCATTTTTGTAATAATAACAGTAATACTGGAAATATTAGACTCAGGAACTTGAAAGATTTTAAATACACAATAAATATAATTTCACGATGTTCTTCAACATCCCTTTAATCTTAAATGTTCATCAAGAACTAGATTTCTGCCTTTGATTTTTGTATCCCACTATGCATAAAAACGTTAAATTAATAAGAACTTTACATCACATTGTTACATTTTAACTTTCATTTTTACTCTTGTTTTCATCTGTTGGACGGACTCATAACCGTCTAAGCCCAGAGTAGGGACGTTTACTTTTGTGATGAAACAATGTAGACGTTGCGGTGATTAAAGCGCTACCTTGTTACGTTGTTCAACGTTATTGGAAGTTCCCAAAAATTATGTCTTTTAAACAAACAAGATGTGACATTCCTGTTAAATCCAAGAAAATCTTCTTACTTCTTGTAGATGTTATTATAAAAACCCATAAAATAAAATCATATTAATGAACCAAATTTGACGTTCCAAGTATGATAATAGTTCATACCTTTTTATTTTTATCTTTGTCTTATAAATTTTATATGGACCATGTTTTTCCCGTAAATACTATTGCCTGCCTTTATTTTATTATTGATTTTTATTGAATATACTTAATTTTTTTAGTTTAAGCGATAAAAATATATAATAATAATAAAAAATTAAGGTTTTACTTGTTTTACAAATCCATATACTTTTATTAAAACTAACATATATACTTTTTAATTACGAATTCTATTAAAAATTGTATTGCCTTAGTATAGGCAAAAATAGTCCATTAGTACAAAAAAGAATTGGTGCTGTTGTCACGCACCGAGCGAATAGCAGGGACAGACATGGGACAGAATTTGGAAAGGCTTTTCGCAGTTCTCCCACTTCATACACAGAAATTGACAGCTTGGCGACGGAGGTAACCAAAGTGGACGTGATACATTGGCGTACAAAATTATTTTATAGATGTTAATAATAATTTCAGGTAAATAGTTTAATAAACTGTAAATAGCTGTTAAAATTTTGTAGAATTATGATTTGGGATATTATAATACTTGTTAAATAATTATTTCTAGTCCTTAAATACATGCGATAGTCCGGTTCCGCCGGTAAAAATTTTTAAAAATACTTATTCTATGAAACGACACTGGTAGATAAACATAACCGTGAAATTCTCGAAGCCGTCTGACGTGGTTTGACTTTTACCTCTCTATATATCTACCAAAAGCCTTTCCAACTTCTGTCCCTGCTATATACTTAACACAGTTCTGCTGATATCTACGTCTGAAAATCTGAAATTAGATTCAACCTCTTTTATAATTATAATAGGACTTCAATAGCATTTTATCTTTTAGAATATTCCATATGCTCATACTTTACAAGCGAAATTGGGCAAAAATGAATCATTTTTGTAGTCAATCTAATGAAATTTACGTGTGTTTATAGTGAACTGGTTATACATATTTCTATGGTTCAGAGATTTTTTTCATAAAAGATTATTTGGCAAAACTGCTTAAAATGATGTCACAGCCCACATAACCTCAAAACATATTAATCAATTAGCCGTACCCGGGATTTAAAAAGAAACTGAACGGCATATAGATTATATTTTTAATATGGGGTTAAGCGAAAAATATCGAATTTCATAAAAAAAATTGCGGTATATAAGGACCCATGACACCGAAAGAGTTAAAAAATAGGAAAGGTAACTATCCAGATACAGAGGAAATGGGAGATACTGCTTAAAATCAATCAAAATTTTTATTGAAACCAGAGATGGGAAGAGTACCTTTTTGGAACTGAAAATGCCTGTGGTTCGGTGACAGTCTGGGAAGACTGGGAATGTGGTCGAGATCTGAGTTGCTGTGGTTCAGTTTGAGTCTCCTCAGTCTTGGAATCTCTCCTTCTTTGTTCTTTATGGCTGCGCGATCTTCTTCTGCTCGACGGGACGCATCGCGGATCGCAGCAGGGACTCGCCAAGTCGTAGGCGTCCAAGCTGTTGTTGTCCCCGTTACTAGATCCCGATTGAATACAGGGGTTGCACAGTTGGCCGGCATATCTAAATCATTTTTTTGTTAAAAATATTAAATTAATTTTTACGCCCGCCACTGGTATTACTTATCTACTAATTCAACGGTTCTCAAACTGTGGTACGCATACCATCCACCGAATATGAGGCTTCAGGCCTCCAAAGGTGGAACGCGGGCAGTTAATGATAACACAGGGGAACAGCTGTTTTGGTGTCGAGGTTTTTTGAGCTGATTCTATATCAATTTGATGTCTTGAATATAAATAACCTATTCATTTTTACCTAGTAGCTCAAATTTTTAAGATATACAATTTAAGAGAAATATAAGTTACATTATTTTAACTCAAATCCGTAAGTGTAGTAAACAAAAGTAGATACGAAATTTTTATTTTAGTTATACAAAATACAATAAGGATTTGAAACTATTAAGCATCTTGTTAACCATTTCAACATAGCTTTGAGCTTTGTGTTTGCCTAGAAAATGTTCTACAACTGCAACAAATGATTGTCCAAGCTTCTCGTTCAACTTGATTCACTGAATTTATGAAGTCAGGATCCTTAATTAATTGTCTTATTTGTGGGCCGTCAAATATCCCTGCTTTGAGTTTTTCTGTGCTTAACTGATGCATTTTTACCCCTTTATATGCAAAACATGACCCATTCTTATCAAGAGCCTTTACAAATTGCTTCATGCCGAACTTTATATATAACGGAGGAAGTATGATTTTTTCTCTTTCAACCAAAGCGTCGTCAATGACATTCTTTTCCCCAACGTCCATGTTTTCTCTTTGAGGCCAATCTTAACTAACCCAGTGGTATGTTTTATCCCGACTATCCCAGAGGCACAAGAAACACGGATATTTCGTATAACCACTTTGCTGCCCAAGAAGAAAGTTTACCATTTTTAAGTCTACACAAGTCATCCATTGATGTTGGTGATACTTTATCTTCTGCAAGACCAAATCTACGGTATTATATTCTTCTTTCAGTTTCGTTGAGTGAGCTAGTGGTATTGAACCATATTTATTCCCATTGTGTAGGACACATTTTAAACTTTGCTTTGAACTGTCAATAAATAGGCGCCAATCATCTGGAATATATTCAGAAAGTCCCATTTCTTTCATGAGTCCATTAATTTCGTGTCAAAATACAAGATTGTCTTCTTGAGAAAATAATGGTAGCAGATACTTTTCTCTTGTACGGTAAAAGGTAATTTTGGTTCCTTGTTCCAATAAATCTCTAAAAAAAAAGGTCTTCCCTCTTGTGACGAACTTCTAAAAAACGTTCTCACCTAAAGCTGCCGGGCCCGTACTTGAGCCCGGGCCACGGGAATTAGTCACGGGTACCCCCCTCTCGCCCGCCCTGGTGGATTCAACGGGGGATTCAGTGTAGTGCAGTGATTTGGAGTGTAGTACAGCTAACGTGTTTACTGTGCTATCCCGAATTTACACGTGAAAAATATGGATGTGCCTTTAAAGAGACATACCTAAATACATTGGAAATTCCCATTCTATCAAGTTCTACTTCGGAACCAGAACATGTTGTGGGTGAATATAAAAAAAATATTTCCAAAATATGGAAAATAATTAAAAAAATTTGGTCCAGAATACATTAATTTGGACTAACATGAAACCGTAGGTACTTATTGAAGCGCAACTTTAATACAAAACATTCTAAGGGGTATATCGCTCCTAATTTGCTTAAGATGAAAGACACAAAGAAAACTATGTCGTCCTTTGTAAGTAGCTGTAAACAAGTGGAGGCATCATTCATAGTGAGTTTAAGAGTTATAAGGTGGGGAAAAGCTCATACTATCGGTGAAAAACTGGTGCTACTTACTGCAAATTTTATACCTAATAGTAACATGTATGTTAAGTGTAATGTCATCTAAAAAACTGGATACTAGATATCATTGTCAAATGATACCGTCCATCTCGGGATTGAAACATATCGAATGTTAAAGAACAATTATTAGTCGGAGTAAAAAAATAGTAATTTGTTTGCCATACAACTCGACGAGTTATCCTCAACTTATTGTTTATGTGCAGAACTTATACATTTCAAAGTGAAAGAGGATTATTTATTTTTAAGGCACTCTGAACATGAATTACAGTCGAAGAAATATTTAAAAAAACTAAGTGACTTTTTTTGCGGAAACGACTAAACTAGAAGTGCGTTGGTTTCTGTTTCTGACGGTGCGTGCGCCATAACAGGAAAATACTAAGCTGTTACCAATAAAGTTAAATCAGTTAGAGAAAATTGAAAATTTACTAATTTTACCATCCACAGAGAGGCATTAGCAACAAAGTAAATGTCGGATCGATCAAAAATGTTCTTCAGGAGGCAGTCAACTCAGTTTTATAAAATATCGAGCCTAAAAATTCGTTTGTGTTCAAAATTGTCAGGTGATCATATTCAGTAAAGTTGCTACACACAGAGGTGAGATGGCTTTCAAAGGGAAAAATGCTAAGCATGTGGTTCTAGTTGCATTCCGAGGTGCAACTGTTTTTAATGGAAACCAATTTTGAATTGTGACATCAATTAACAGACGAGTTGTGGCTAACAACACTTGCTTATGCTTACTTAGCAGACATATTTAATTGATTAAATCATCAGAACTTAAAAGTTTGCAAGGTAAAACTACAAATAGATTTTTGGTAGATGACAAATTTAGGGCAAGTATGAGGAAATGCTGAATGATAAATGACAGTGTTTCAAATAATAACCTGGTCATTTTGTAATTTCGAAAATGTTGTGACTGAATATAGACTAAGCTGCCCTCCTAAGCCAAAAAGCGGTATCTCAGTTGTAGCGAGTTTCGAGAAAAAAATATTTTCTAAAAGATGTTTTCGCGTTTCCTCGAGACGAAAAAATTATAATTAATATACTGTAGGGGCTCCGCTGGTTACGTGACACTTTTGCAGAGGGATTAAACCTTATTAACTAGTTTAATACCTATATATTTTAATATTTTTCCATAGAGTGCAGATCCAATTATTTTGAGTAAGGAGTCACAACACAAAGATACAATAAAATCGGACGGCACTGTCTGTATTTACATGTCTTTAATAATTAAGACGGAATCTGAACAGGTTCCGCTGTATTAATTTAAATTATTTTTTTGTTATTGAATAATATTTTTAAAGATCTTGTGTCGTATATGGATATGTAGCCATTTAGCTTAGTAATTTCTTGGCCTCCCCGCAAGACTTTCTCTAAAAAAATAAGTGAACAAAAATATCATAAAAAAATGTAAGGATAATAACCTAAAATAAAAAATAAGTACTACTCTGGCAAAAAAAGAGATATAAAAAAAAGGAAAGAAATTATATACATTTTGAGATCAATAAGCAAACCAATAAACACAAAAAAAAATGGGAGCCCCAAAAATAGCCCGGGGCCTAGCGTGCCAGTCAGGCTCGCCACTTGTAATGGCATATCCCTAAGGTTGTTAGTAAATACAAGTGAAATTGATATACGTAAATTTGTCATGTTTTTTTTTTTAATGTTTCGAGAGAGATTTTGCTATTTTTCTTAGATCATCTGATGCGAAATTTTTCTAGCTATCCAATGCGTTAAAAAATAAAAAAAAGTAATTTTTTTTGAGGTACCGCAACATTGCCAAATGCTGATTAACACGTTTTAAATATACTTTAAAGAGGACCGAATATTTCGAATTCGACTAAGGACATTTTTTCTTCTATTTCATTACTTAATCCCTACAACTCGCATATGTCTACATTCACCTTTGATATTCTGAATTCCTTTGAATAGGTACGGAACCCTTGTCTACAAACTAGCCAAGTAAACACTTTAACCGTAACATTGCACATGAATTGTACGCGAAAAAAGTTTGAGAACCGCTGTAATAAATAACACATTCGTGAAATCGTGACGCATGTGACGCATGTTATTTTCTATATTTGTGGCGAGACTAATTATGTGGTAAATATTATCGCATGCAATGTGTAGGACTGTTTTGAGATTTCATTAAAATATACACCAAAAAATCCATAAATTAACAGGTAGGTACTTAATTTAACGAAAATTAGATGAACTAACCGTTGGCATAACACTGGGGGTTTCTTTGACTTTTCCGTTCTTGTTTGACATCCTCTAGTTTGCTTTTGATCACATGGTGTTTTTACAATAAAATTGTGCGCTTCCTTATTGTAATTTGGTTGTTCCAACGTAAGAAGGTATTCGCCGCTGCTGTTCGTTGAAGGATGAAGAATATATCTAAAATTAATTTTATTGTAATAAAATGTTTATATACGAAGGCCATTCTAAAATTATTAATATACAAACATACTATATACGTAATACCTATTCACGCTATGCGCACAAAGCTTTACGTATGTTGAAAGAAGTTGGTACCTCGAGCTGGGGCGATGAAAATAAATGGACGTAATTTAGTTGTAAGAATTATCAAAGAGTTAGATTGTGAAATGTTTACTCTGACTTTCCAACTTTCTATTATTACAAAATGGCAACGAGGATATTGGAACAACTCTCCAAGATTGAGACAGGCCAAACAGTTTATCAAGGAACCATCGGCCAAGTTCACGAAAGACCTACTGATGGTTTAGAAACGTCAAATGGTCAGGATAACAATAGATCTTCTTACAGGACACTGTCGCCTAAGAAGACACATGAGTGCCATCAATCCAGCAGAAGAAGCAACATTGTGCAGGTTCTGTGAAAAAAAAAGAAACATAAATCCACGTCCTGTGCCTGCAGTGTAAAGGCCTGTCTAGATTGAGTTTTCTAACATTAGGGATAGAAAATCCAGAAGCTTGGAACTATGTTTATTTCTTCTTATTTTGTAAAAAAAGGCAATAATTACCCGCCTATAAAAAAAATGTCCATGTGATTTTTGAGAATTTGTAAGTTGTCATAAAAAAGTCAGCAATTATTTCTCGTTATAAAATTGGTCCTTTCGAGCCGGATATTTCAAGGAGCCAGAAAGTTAGAGAAGCTCATCAGCAGCGTGGAAGAATTGAATCTTAAGAAAGCAGAGGTGTATAATAAAGGTTTTGATTTGGTATCGTTAACGTTTACAATTTATTGATGTAGTTATAGTATGTTTTACATTTCATGGTTTATTATAATTTAGACTTATTTTAACTCCTACATTGCCAAAATGCCAAAAAAAACTCAACTAATTACATGGCTCCCGCATGTAGTTTGTTGAGTCAAAGCTACTAAGTCTAATTAAAAAGACATACTCTAAACATCAGAGTCCCACAATAGATCTGAAAATGTCGCGGTGGAAAAGGACAAATAATGTCAAATCTCATCTAATCTAATCGAAAGGAACTGAATCAAATCTAATCTAATTTAAACTACATATAGTATGAGAGCCCACTGCAAATTTCGACCGTCATCTGATAACGAAATAAAATATGCTCCAAAGGCATGAAACAACATTGTACTTTACCAAATTGCACTTGTGCCAATCCCTATCCTGAGCAAAGTGGTTAAAAAACTTATTTTATATTCAAAAAATTGTGTTTTCTCTGAAAATTCTAATTCATTGTGAACCTAGCTTTTAAACTTGAATTATTACTATTTTTACCTACCTTTTAAACCATGTTTATGTGTGAAAGGAAGAAGGATGGCATTGTATAGACCATAGGCCTTTTCACCATGTGATGAGCGCAAGCGCAGCCGCCATGTTGAAATAGCGCCAATTCAAAATTTTCATACTGTTTTGATCAACAATAGCTGGAAAAGCAATATTATCTCTACATACAAATAAATCATTAGAAAAAATCGTTGATGGTGATTTACATTTTTATAACTCTGTGGAAGCACATAGTTGTGAGCAATTAAAACGGTTCCTAAAGTGACGTGGACGTTCGGAATAAGGAAAAAAAGTATGGTGATTAAGAGGTTAGGTTTCAATACATATTAACTGTGTAAAAAATTAATGAAAACAAATAATAATTATAACTCGATTCTAATTAATTATGCCAACTAACTATTAATAATTGCAAAAAACACATGAAAGTTAATCACTGGTATAATTAATAAGATTTAAAAATTATTTAAAATTTTAAGGATCAACATGACATTTTTAATAATATTACTGTGTATACCGAAGTAGTATTTAATATTAAAAAATATTGTGATTACACATAACCAGACAATTATTTTCTTCTGTTGAACCACCTTCTCCATAAAAATGAAGTGAACAAATATAATTATCTTTAGTAACATCATCCATCAATTGATCGAAAATCTTTGTTACTTCGACCACATTTTTTCACTTATAATACTCATTTTGAACATGTTTTGATATGGATTTTGCCTAATGAGTTTTACGATATTGCAGGCAAGTCTTTTTATAAAATAATAATTTATACCGTGTGTCACTTTTACATACTCATAACAATACCGTTTAGTTTTTCCTTTCCGTAAAGATAACAATTAATTGATTTTTCAATTAAGACACTTATTACTTTACTTTTTTTATCCCATTTTTTAGGCGAATACACTTAAAATTAATATTTATCGATTATAATTTTTTTCACGTGGATATTTTAACATGATTGTTTACAAAAAAGCAGTACGAAAAAGATGGGTGATATTGACGCATGCGCACAAAAAAAATGTGATGAAAAGGTCTATTTGCAGAGATAGTCAATAATAATTATAAACTCTTGGTAGACAATTCTTTTAAACCAGAATCATATTAGTTTTTTTGTCGTTTTTATGGCAAAATGTAAAAATTAATTACAACAATAGGCATAGAAATAAATTTTTAGTATCAGCAAAAATTGATTCATATTTTTTTTAAGAATTTTTACCTACTAATCGTGGATAGATGTTTCTGTGCGATGTTAAGAGGAAGAAAATGTTTCCCTTTAACGATATATATCAAGATATATTTGAATGTTATTTTCTGGAAAACTTTAAGGGCAAACAAAATTAGCGCTGTCATGCATTATGTGATTTTTTAAAATAAAATAATTTTTTTAAGCCACTTTGCTCAATATTGGGATTAGCACAGGTGCCATTTGGTAAAGTACAATATTTTTACATGCTTTTGGGGTATATTTCATTTTGTTATCAGATGACGGTAAAAATTTGCAGTGGGCTCTTGGGCTAATAGTGCCTCCTACATCGATGTATTTTTGCAATCAAATTTTCTATTGACAGAAGACGTGTAGGTATACTAGGCGACATGAAATGAATGGAGGGTGCAATACAGAATCAAATATCTAGGAATCCATTTAAACAGGTACCAAACTTATTTGGAAAATCAATTGACTGCTAGGCAGAAAACAAATATGCCAGTAGAAAATAAAATATTAATATACAACAATATCATTATTATTCTTATCTGAACTATGACATATAATTATGGGGATGTATTAGCAAATCTATAAGTAGTTATGTATCAAACTAGATGATTAATCAAGACCTCCATATTACAAAAGTTCGGGATACAATTCAGCAAAGAAGCCAACCAAAAGCAACACGAAAGATTGGAGTTGCATATTAACATATTATACTCCAACAACTGCTGGAAGATAGAAACAATAGAAAACTGAAGAGAAACTATAGCCAATATATCTAAAAGAAACTGGAAGAGGTATTCTTACTGGGGAAATATTATCGGGGCACTTTTGGGACTTTGAGGTCCTTTCGCCACCAATGTTAAATAAAAAATATTAGATTATGACAAAAAATATTAGATTATGACTAAAATTAATTTTTTTCTAATAGTTGAAGTCCTTATTTATCTAATAGTGAACTTTTAACTATACCTTACCGTGCAAATTTTTGAGATTTTTTTTTTTAAATGTATTTGTACAGTGTCTTACGAGAAAGTAAGACCTCAAAACAATTCTCTAATTATACTATTATTTATTGATTAGATGAAGTAGAAAAAAAACTAAAAATAAGGTTTTTGAAATATTTAGGTTTTGTTTTTTACAATAAAATATATAGGTTACCGTGGAATTTATTGAGAAATTAATATTAAATAAAAAATCTGATGTGTCCAACACATGACTTTCCTATCTAGTTATTATAGGCTTTTTCCGGTTATTTTGTACAAACTATTGCAGCACCTCTATAAATATTTAGAGGATAAACTAAATATATACATTTTCCACATACATCTACCTCGAAACATTTTTCTATATTCATTGAAAACGAAAATACTGAAAAATTTAAATTTAGCACTTTTCGTACAATTTTTCCATTACTGTCCATTTTTGAAAAATCATGTATAAGCTAAAATTATAGAGATCAATATCACAAACAACTTTTAGTTCAACAATTTTCATAAATATCAGAATTTTGCACATTTTGTCAAATTTCTCGAATACGGACCATTTCAGGAAATTTTGACATATAACAAAAATTATAGATAATAATATTAAAAGTAACTTTCATTTGAACAATTTTCTTCTCCAAACATAAATAACAGATATATTCCATAAAATATAGAAACGGCCTCCCATAAAGTACTTACCCCCCAGATGTTCCGACTTTGTCCAAAATCTAATCATTTCACGTCAGGCCGAAATAAAACTTAAGTTTAAAATTTAATGTTTTTATCTTTCCGTTTTTGAGTTCTCTTTAAAATTTGAAATTTATACATTTCCTCAAATATCTCGAATACGGTCCATTTTAAAGAAATTATGTATAGAATAAAAATTATAGAGAAACAACTTTTATTTGAACAATTTTTATAATTTTTTTTTTACTTTTGTCAAATTTCTCGAATACGGACCATTTTAGCAAAATTTTGTGTAAAACAAAAATTATATATAATACTATTAGAAATAACTTTTATTTGAAGAATTTTCTTCTCCAAACGTAAATAACAGATATATTTTATAAAATATAAAAATGACCACCTATAAAGTACCTCCCCAGATCTTCCGACTCTGTACAAAATCTAATCAGTTCATTGGACGCTGGAATAAAGCTTAAGTTTAAAATTTGGTGTTTTTCTGTGCATCGGTTCATGAGTTATGGTGGATACAGACACACACACACACACACACACACACACACACACACACACACACACACACACACACACACACACACACACACACACACACACACACACACACACACACACACACACACACACACACACACACACACACACACACACACACACACACACACACACACACACACACACACACACACACACACACACACACACACACACACACACACACACACACACACACACACACACACACACACACACACACACACACACACACACACACACACACACACACACACACACACACACACACACACACACACACACACACACACACACACACACACACACACACACACACACACACACACACACACACACACACACACACACACACACACACACACACACACACACACACACACACACACACACACACACACACACACACACACACACACACACACACACACACACACACACACACACACACACACACACACACACACACACACACACACACACACACACACACACACACACACACACACACACACACACACACACACACACACACACACACACACACACACACACACACACACACACACACACACACACACACACACACACACACACACACACACACACACACACACACACACACACACACACACACACACACACACACACACACACACACACACACACACACACACACACACACACACACACACACACACACACACACACACACACACACACACACACACACACACACACACACACACACACACACACACACACACACACACACACACACACACACACACACACACACACACACACACACACACACACACACACACACACACACACACACACACACACACACACACACACACACACACACACACACACACACACACACACACACACACACACACACACACACACACACACACACACACACACACACACACACACACACACACACACACACACACACACACACACACACACACACACACACACACACACACACACACACACACACACACACACACACACACACACACACACACACACACACACACACACACACACACACACACACACACACACACACACACACACACACACACACACACACACACACACACACACACACACACACACACACACACACACACACACACACACACACACACACACATCGCGAAAATAGTCAAAACGGATTCAGGGGACCTCAAAACGTAAAAATCCGTCGAAAACCGGAGGTCGAAAAAAATCATGATTCCTATACTTTCCTTATCTGTATACAGATAGGAAAGTAAAAATTTCAAGTAACCTAGTTGAACATTTTTTTAATATTAATTTCTCAATAAATTCCACGGTAACCTATATATTTTATTGTAAAAAACAAAACCTAAATATTTTAAATAACTTATTTTTAGTTTTTTTCTACTCCATCTAATCAATAAATAATAGTATAATTCGAGAATTGTTGTTGAGGTCTTACTTTCTCGTAAGACACTGTACAAATATATTTAAAAAAAAAATTCTCAAAAATTTGCACGGTAAGGTATAATTAAAAGTTCACTATTAGATAAATAAGGACTTCAACTATTAGAAAAAAATTTAATTTTAATCAGAATCTAATATTTTTTATTTAACATTGGTGGCGAAAGGGGTGGCGAAAGGACCTCCTTAAAAAAATAAATAATAAAAAATGCTCTTCGAATTTCAATAATTTCAGAGGCTCTCTCGTATTATCAATATTCTACTATATTAAAAATGCAGCAATAAAATTAATGTAGGTGTAAATATTATGTAAAATTGTGTTTAGTAAGACATGCACTGCAGTTATGAGCCGCGAGCTTTTTGTGAACCAATACCTGTTATATAGATAAGTACTATTCAAAGTAAGTAAAATTGGGAATGGATATAAATAAAACAAATATAAAAAATAAACCTAATTTATTAAAAAATAATAAAAATAGTGCAAACTAAAAAAAATTAAAAAGTTAATAACGAATAGTTTATTTTCAAAAAATATTTACAAATTAAAAATATAAAATATATACAAGGTCATAGACTAAAGCTGTAAGTAACAAAAATTATATAAACATTATATAATTTTATTTTTTCAGTTTTTTATCTTCCTAAAGACGAGCCATACCCAAATAATGTTCACAGCCCATTTGCACTATATGATTGATCATGAAACAAATAAGCAATGTTCTCGTTAGTTACTTAGTTTTCAAATACATACAAGGTGGCTAATTTTATATACGTTGTTAAAGGTAACAATAAACTATTTAGTTTAACTCCATACAAAAACAAAATTAAATTCTTTTATAATTTCAACCAAAAGTTATCTAGTACAAGCACCCGCCAGACAATCAACGACAATAATTATTACATCACATCTAAAAATAGAATATATCCGACGCACAGGTATTCATAGAATATTGTGCCACTTTTGGAGTAACATTCAGTTATTGTAAAGACAAAAACTCATAACCTTGCACGAATTTGAAATATTAATTGTTGAAGAATTCATGTACCTATAATTTCGTTCATCTGCTTATAAATCGTTTGAAGTCAAAAAGGAAAGGGTGTAATATAATAAATTTGAATCAACGAAATATGATTTCATCATTCAACGAAAGAACGGCAGCCATCATGAGAGGCGGGCCAATAAAGGCAGCTTAGTAACAAAACAAACTTTAAAATATTTATTCACTAAAAAGGTCTCTTCGAGTCTGCACTAGTATATATTCTACTGACAATATTCATGTAATTTTAATGTTTTATCATTAAACTTCACTTATAAATGGATTTGTCTGCTTTACGTTTCAATGTTCTTTGTATTTTTATTCATGTCTGTTTAAATTTCATAACATATTCCTAAATTTAAACATTTAAACCATTTGTGTTCAAATCCACGCATTCAATAAATCCACATTTTTCATCATACGAATAACAATATCATCTAGCTCAAGATAGAGTACATGCTAAATATATTTTCTGCAAAAAGTGATACATATCACGTACACCAAAACGTCACAAATTCAAACCCTATTCCAATATATACTCTATCTTTTGCCTTGCTAATTTCTCTATTTCCCACTCAATATGATTAAGAAATTTGACGTGCTGGTGTAATGATGGCCAATTGGACACGTGCTCCATGCACAATAAATGACAAGATCCCCCGCATCACCTGCAACGACACAAATCTTTTTTCTCGTTTAGACACTCCAACGTTGAACTTTTAACAGTCAACATGTCTCGGGGTCGGTGTACATTTCACTTTTAAACTTCATACATAGATACTCCGTTGTCAGCAAGACACTTTTTTCAATCGTCAACTCAGAAGAAAAAATGTAGACACTGATAAAATCAGCTCGCCTAGGCAACATGATCTTACGAATCATAAACATTAACGTAAAATTGAGTATCCTACAAGCAAAGAGATGATTTAGTCGTGACACAGTATAACTTTGTAAATAATTTGTGTTTTCAGTCTTGTTATCGAATAATTAAATAAACCTCGTGCCGTTCGTCAGTGTTTGATTTATGGACAAAGATTTTCCCTCTTACGGTAGATAGTCCACAATGTACCGGTCTTCTCCCGATAAATTAACAGTAGATATTTTCTTTTGGGACGAAACTAGTTTTCTTTCCATTTAAAAAAATATATTGTTTCATGACCAATCAAATTGCAAATAGACATTTATAATTCAATAAAAAAGGTGACTCTTATATTTAAAATATAGTTAAACCTATTATAGTTAAACACTATTTATCCTTGTTTTTCGAGTTAAAAAGCGCATGCGTGCCACTAGATTACGTAAATAATTCCTCTTACCTATAGCGAGAGTCTAAATACTGATAAGCAAAAGCCAAAGGCGGTGTGACCTGCTTATGTTGTTGAGCAACTTTAGCGACGTCTTCTGTAGATACTGTTGGCCTACAGTACGAGTAAGAAGTTTGAGTTGGAGTTGGTGGTTCTCCGTTGCTAGCCTGTGAAGCCTTTTTTCTGGCCGGTAGACTGTGAGTCTTCCATTTACCTTCCAGTAAATGACGTTCTCTTATGCACAACCTGTCCAGTTCTTCAATTTTGCTTTGAAGAATTCTTTGAAGCTGAATGTATCTCATATGAAGTTCTACCTGCAATACAAATGGTTATGTTGAAATTTTATTCTCCACGCAAGCGATAATATAACTTTATTTTCATAAAATAATATACAAACCTTCCTTACACAGTCTTCGAACAATACAACCATTCTCATTCTAGTATCACATTTTTTTATGTAGTTGACTAGAGTTTTATGATCAGCTTTCTCCATATCTGTTCCATTAATGGAGAGAATAACATCTCCTTCCCTCATTCCTGCTCTATAAGCTGGCCCGTCATAATCTACATAGTCGACGTACGTGATCATTTCTAAAAAGGTAAAAATGCGTTAATAGAGTTTACATTATTCAAGATTCTAATTATTCATTAGGGGATATAGATGACACCGAGTTGGTTCTAAATAATTTATTTTTAATGAGTTTCTGATTGTTTATAAATAAGATAAACATATGATTTGTCCATTTCTTATCGAACCATACTGTGTACTATTTTTCATATTCACTACATTATTTGTCCAGTATGATGCCGAATAGCGTATAAATAAAACTCAGGACTTGAAAAAATTAACCTGGATTTTCCGAGTATAGTCCTCCATGCCTTTACCAATTAGGCTACCGGATGGCCGGATAGAATGATTCCTGGACAATAAAGAGTCCGCCTTGGGTGTTTTCATAGACATAGAAGGTACTTTTGACAAGACCACCTTCCCCGAAATAATACACTCACTAACCAACAGGAATGTTCCACAGATGGTTAGTGGATAGATACATAACATGCATTCAAAGTGAGTAATAAACATAACTGTAATAAGAGTCGTCTCATGGACATACACGGCCATCATAAAATCTATGCTAACAGACGGTGCAGTAGTCTGGGTAGCGAAAACCCAAGAATAGACAGCTATTCGCAAACTACAACAAATTCAAAAAATAGCATGTCTCAACTTAACAGGAGCCATGAAAACTACACCAACCAGAGCCATAGAAGACATTCTTAGTCTCACTCCCCTTAATATTTACATCAAGGAGGTTGCTCTGATGAAAATGACACGACTTCGCCCGGTTGAAATAAAAACTGATTTAGAATCTGAGACGTCGCTTCAAGCGAACGTGGACTCAATCTCACCAAGATATATCTTCCATAGGCCATATAAAGTTATATAAGAAAACAAATAGAAGAGCTGAAAGAGGCAGGTACTCATATTTACACCGACGGTTCTAAAACAAAATACGGCTTAGGACGTGGAATATACTCCAGATACCTCAACATAAAATGGGCTGCGAGCAATAATGCCAGTGTAGTTCAAACCGAGCTCGCGGGGATTATCGTATCAGAAACAATATCATTGGAAGGAACGCGCTCATCTATACAGATAGCAGACAAGCACTACTCACCCTGGACCAGAGTTGGGTAGTATTCGGATACTTTATGTGTATCCGAAAGCTGTATACGGATACTTTTCAAATTTTGTATCCAGTATCGGTATCCGTGACCAAATTTGTAAGTATCCGGATACCGGATACTTTTTTCGGCATTCGGATACTTTTAAATTATTTACCACAATCGTAACTGATCCAAACCATATTATCTCTATTAAAATATATAATCGAAATACTTTGAGCTACCCTGTATAATTAGAAATAAAATACGTATTTTTCAATATTACAATATTTAAGACACAATTGCAATATGTACCTACTTAAATAAAAAATAGTAAAATAATTATTTTATTATTATTTGTAGTTTTGTTTGGTGCATCCTGTAAAATTTAAAATAAGGCAAAAACATTTCTCATCGCCAAGGATGAATTTGACGATTTACCCAGTATACAGGCGGTCGGCATTCAGCATCTTACGGAACGTTTTTACAGGAAAAATCCTATAAACCCTTGTCCGGTGTCACGAACTTGTGGAGGTTCCATTAGCCCAGTTATGTTTCAGTTGGCAAAGACAAGAGACTGTTGTTCCTGTGTTTTTATATAGTGCAATATAACTAAACTTTCTGTATCAGTTTTAGTGCCTAACTATACGCAAAGGCAAGTAGGTGTAGGTACCTCGAATTTTTTGTTTTGTAAAATGTCTAATTACATTATTAGTTTTTAAAATTTAGTCGAGAAAATACATGTATGATGTTGTTGCTCATAATTTTACTGATCATGTGTTATTAGGGTTGCCAGATTTCCGAAAAAGCGTGATAACCGTGACGACAGAGGATTTTTATATAATCGGGTCCATTTTTTGTGAACATTTCTAAAAAATAAAAAAAAAAGTTCCTCAGCTTATTTTTCGCAAAAACGAGGGTCTTTTAGCCGGACATTTGTCTATTTTTGTATAAATCCGGTTCTTCCTCGGCTTTTCAATTAAAAAGCGTGGCATTTGCATAAAAAGAGTGGCATTTTTTCAAAAGCGTGGCATTTTCGTACTGTGGCGTTGCGCGTACAAGCAAGTCAAAAAGCGTGGCAAATACGCCAAAAGCGTGACGTCTGGCAACCCTATGTGTTATTTATGTTATCATCAACATCAATAAAGTATACGGATCTGACAAGATCAAATATACGAGCCTGCTTTGCCTATGCCAGAACGAAACATTCAGCGATCTCTCACTCCTCCTCCTTCTGACGCTCTCGACTCTACCAAGTACCGCTCGTCGGAGGATCTACAAAAAATGGATTTTCGAATACATCTGACACTGACGTGAATATCGAAAGGTTGTATAAACATGGCAAATCGCGCCAACAAGCTTATTTCGTTAGATTTATATGGCTGGTTTTTGGCGCGGTTCAGGCGCGACTCGTTTTATTTACACGCACCTTTTCGTTTTAATGTTTTATATTCACAGAATAAAAATAATAAACAATTTATTGAGTAGTTTTTTTCCTGTTTCTATTATATCGCTTTCCATTTTCGATAATTATTTATGCCTAGTATTGTTTATTGTTACTCGTAATCAATCTTATTGCATAATTATAACTATTAGTATGACAACATTATTTTAACTCACTTTAAAAGTATCCTTTAAAGTATCTGAAAAAAGTATCTGGATACTTGTATCCGAGTACTTTTTAGTTGAAAGTATCCTAAAAAGTATCCGAATACATTGCAAGCATCCGTATCCGGTACTCGGATACTTTTTTACTGTATCCGACCCAACTCTGCCCTGGACAGACCACGAATTTACGCATGGTTAGTACTAGAATTTCACGAAGTGGCCTCGACGATAACTTTTATTTCGGTACGCTAAAAAGGGTATTTCGCGGCATACACTTACAAATAAAACTATTCTTTCTCTTCTATATTCGACACTGTCGTCGAATGTTGGCCGGATATGTTCAGACAATACCTGGACAGTGAACCATCATATGTGAGAAAAAAATGTTATTTTTCATTACTTATATAGTTTGTAAACCTCAAGATTTATGTTATGCATGAGTATTATCTACACTGCGACCTAAAATAATTATGTTGCTTCCTTTTGTCGCTAAGGCACCAAGGGAATAGTCTTAACTTCTATAACGACTTCAAATCTTCCCACTGAAGTTTACTATTTGGAGTGGATCTAAGCTGGAATGACGGTTGCATCCTACTCCTCACAGAATCAGCACGTACTATATTTTGCTAGTCCGCGTTTACGAAATAATTGTCCCTTGAGTAGGCAACGCCCAGTAAGTATTTCCGTTACTATGCATACTGTATTCTGCTCTTGCTCAGACAGATACAGACTTTCGATCTTTTCTGGTTGTAGTCACCAAGAAGCATCTCAACGTGTCTTAGCCTCAAGAGATCATATAGATAAAAAAATCTGATGTGTCCAACACATGACTTTCTTATCTAGTTATTGCAGCATCTCTATAAATGTTTAGAGGATAGACTAAATATATACATTGTCCACATACATCTACCTTGAAACATTTTTCTATAGATATTCATGGAAAACGAAAATACTGAAAAATTTAAATTTCCTACAATTTTTTCATTACGGTCCATTTTAGAAAAATCATGTATAAACAAAAATTATAGAGATCGATATCGCAAACAACTTTTATTTCAAAAACTTTCATAAAAATCAGAATTTTGCACATTTTGTCAAATTTCTAGAATACGGACCATTTTAGGAAAATTTTGTATAGAACAAAAATTATAGATAATTATATTAGAAGTAACTTTTATTTGAAGAATGTTCTTCTCCAAACGTAAATAACAGATATATTCCATAAAATATAAAAATGACCACCCATAAAGTACCTCCCCAGATGATCCGACTCTGCCCAAAATCTAATCAGTTCATTAGACGCTGGAATAAAGCTTAAGTTTAAAATTTGGTGTTTTTCTGTATATCGGTTCATGAGTTATGCGACACACACACACACACACACAGACACACACACACACACACACACACACACAGACACACACACACACACACACACACACACACACACACACACACAAACACACACACACACACACACATCGCGAAAATAGTCAAAACGGATTCAGGGGACCTCAAAACGTAAAAATCTGTCGAAAACTCGAGGTCGAAAAAAATCATGATTCCTATACTTTCCTTATATCTGTATACAGATAGGAAAGTAAAAAGATAATTTGAAATCAACAAAATTTCATGTATACGTTACTTATCAATGTATCATTCCAGAAAGAAAAGGAAATGATTACTCAATTACTCATAAAGAGGTTTACTATTTCTGTGGATGAAGGGTAAAACTTCTTAATTCGTTGATCCTTGGTTTAAGATAACAAAGGTTGCTTAAGCAGTTTTACCCGATTATCAAGAAGCGAAATTTTACATAAGTAATATTTTTCAACTGTATTATTCTTTGAGAAGCGTCTTGATGCTTAGGTCGTTTTACTCAAAGACAATCTAAAAATACTCTTATATACTGTAATTAACTCAATATGGCCAAATATTTAGGCACCTACCTATTTCTTTTTCCTTTTTGTAATGAATGCCGTAGCTTTGGAGTGTGAAGCCATAAGTACCATTTTTCTTTTCTACGATTATAGTACGTCTTCTTCTATCTTCTTCTGGTTTGGTGACTGTCACTCTATCAGATTGGACTCGTTCAAGTATTTGGGACTAAAAGATAATAGCAATAAATACGTATTTGTGCTAGATACATAATCAGCAATCTCATTTTCTCTTTCATCATTTAAAATATTTAATTATTTTTCGTTTTTTTTTTTTAATAATAATCTACGTACATTATTTTTATCATTTTTTACTTATGCCTGATAAGTGATTTAACCTGCAAGGTTATTCGGTTAACATTGTCATTACCTACTTATTTGGAAAGTAGTTGAAATAATATATTAATATCATGTGAGCCATTTTCGACCAATCCGGTAGTACTCAAATTCCTTAAGTCCTCCTCTGCCTTACTTGGGCCTTTTACGGCCTCCACCTTTTTCATTGCCATTCTATTACATATACATATTGCATATATGCTCCTAGTATGTTCTGGCATAGATGCCAGAGGCAGCAATTGTTAATCGAAAGACGTTTTAGAATGTTCGAGAACAAGCCACAAATATTTTGCCATTCTTGGGAGTTTAGTTCTAGTTAAGATATCGTTATGTTCAGTATAAATTGCCAAAGCAAATTAGTGTATTAGTAAGAGAGATATGATATAGTTTTGTATTTAGTACAAATAAATTGAGTCATAAAATAAATAATTATTTAAGAGTTTTAGTGAAAATAAAAAAATTGTTTAAATACGTAAACGTTAAATCAAAATCGAAAGAAAAATTGATGAATAGGTAAGTCGAGGAGCAACAGTTGATCAGTAGAAAATATAAAAGATTTACGCGATGTATAATAAATAGTGAAATATAAATTTATTTATTACGAGGTCTTTTGGACAATAACATGTAAAAGACGACCAAATCCATCATCACTAACAACTGTGGCCCTAATCCCCTTCCCACATACGGACGTTGGGAAACGCAATGACCGAAATGTCATACATGCGTTAAAAGCGAACGGACTTAGCGAACGCAGTGACACGTACGAGTGACGCAGGTCCATACAGACGTCCGTTTTCCAACGGACGTTCACAAACGGAGTGCATAAAACCAGCCTTTAGGAGCTCTCTGAAATATAATTGTTGGTGATAACCGAGAAGAATTATATTAGTTCTACATATCAGGGATCAGGTATATGATAGTAAATATCTAGAAATTCAGAAATTTTGTTGTTGTTTGACACCACGTTATAACAGGTATTTAAAAAATGTTTTAATGTGGTAGGTATGTGGTCTTCAAAATACGAATAAATTAAGTGTTTATAACTAACAGCGTGACTGATGGTGTTATCACATGAGTTTTGTCCGATAAAATGAAGTAGGTATAGTTGCATTAAAAAGCAAATATGCGCATTTAATGCGAAATACCTAGTTTAGTTTGTTTACCAAAGTATTAGATAGTTACACTACAAAAGCCAATGAGTAAATTGTATCGTCACAAACAACGACCAATTTTGTTTACAAAAATCGAATTAGGCATTCCAACGACCTGTCAAAATGCTGCCAGTGGAAACCTCCGAGCAATTTGCATTCTTAATGCCAGTTATTTTCAGTTTAATATATTTTTTCTCGTTTTAACTATTATAGTATATAGTGTTTGTCATAAAATCACGCAAATAATTTGGAAGTTGTGATAGCAGTGTAAAGCAAGTGTAGCAGACGTAAATACTGATTCATTCATAAAACGCTTCTCAGCTTCTTCGCTTCTCAGATAAATATACTCGCACAAATCAGCCCCACTCAAATTAGCAGCTATTTCATTCTTTTTAATGCGGCATCCGATGCGACAGCTCTATCTGCGTAATAACAAATATAATTTAAATGATTGCAATAAAAATGGCTTAATTATGAATGAATGGATTAATCTAGTAGGTAGTTTTTCGTCGTTGGTTGCAAACGACTCAGAACGAGCCGGAACAAGCAGTATATTATGTATAAGCTGCTCAACCGTAGTTCGAGCAGTACCTTGCATCTTGTTATTTCTTTGTATTTTCAAAATTGCTGATGAGCCCTAATAATGACGAAACCGGTCTAAGAATAACTTTCTCCTTAATAAGCAAACTAATTGTAAAGTGTTGAATTTTTTTTCTATCATTGCTGTTTTCTTTTGTATTTAATTCTGTGCCTGTTGCGGTATTACCCAAAGGAGTACTTAGTTGTTTTCCTGACGAAAACGATCGCTCGTATTATATGACACTGGCTTTGAAATTTATTTCTATTTTATTTTATATTCGAAAACCAATAAAATAAATACTTATACCAGAAATTGTTTAAGCAACAAGAGTAGATATAACTGCAATATTGCACGAATAGTTTGAGCACGACTCCGTAGGCGGAGTGCTCAATCGTCTCAGTGCGATACGGACAATTAACTTGAGTTGTACAGTATATTTTTTCTACGGCCCACTAAATAAAATTATAAAATTTAAAAATTAATTTAGAGCTCTTTAATACAGTCAGCGGTACGAAAAAAGGATCACGTGTACATTTTAGATATAAAAAAAATATATTTATTGATTTTTGTTGTTTCATTGTTTTAATAATTTATTATTATAATTCCACACAAATAAAACAACATTTTTTTGTCGTAATTTTTAAAAAACACCGATTATTTGAAAATAAAAATGGGGTTTAATAAAAATTGCATAATTTTATAGCACCTGAAAGTGCATAGTTAGCCATAGGCTTTTATTGTTTCGAGAAATTTGACAGGTATTTTGAAGTTTTGCTGCTTTTTAACCGATTTCAAAAAAGGAGGAGGTTCTCAATTCGTCGTAATATTTTTTTTATGTATGTTCACCGATAATTCTTGTATGATTTCAATGATTCTTTTTTGTTAGAAAGGGGGTGATCCTACATAAATTTTGCCAAAATCTAATAATTGAGTCCATGAGAAAATCCTCAAACTCTTAATTTTTTATGTATGTAAGCGAGCAATATGTTGCCCAACAATATATCGTATCCAACAGTACTGTGCATTGTATTTATACACGTTTTTTTTGGAAAGTGTAGGTTACACTAGACGACCTGGAATTGGCCAGCAATGAAACACTAACGCCTATGATTATCGCTGTATCATCTTACAAAGTATGCGAGATCGTCATGATTAGCTGGACAAATCAGAAATCGACTCCATCACGCCTGGAATACCAACGTAAGCGAACTGACTGTTAGACGAAGACTTGGAGAAGCCAATATTGCTAGTCGTAGACCCACAACAGATCCAGAACGTTTTAAAAGTTATCGAGATTTTTAACGGGGTCGCGCGACTTTAGTTTGCCAAGAATCATGAACACTGGGGTGAAAATGAATGTGGACGCATTTTGTTTACTGCAATCTCTAGATGTTCGTGAAAGAGTATGGCGAAGACCACAGGAGCGTTTTGCAGAATGTACCTTCAGTCCTAGATAGTCTACCAAGGGGGTTCAGTTATGGTGTGAGCTGGAATTTCTCTGGAGGCACAGAGTTGTAGATCGTTCTAGGAGGCTCCTTAACTGCTGCCAGGTATACTAGGTACTTAGGTACATTGATGAAATTTTGCAAGATTTTGTTGTACCTTATGTTGATTTTATTGGAGATACCTTTATTCTGATGCATGTGATAATGATATGCCCCACACCGCGTGAATTACTTAACAACATCTAAACGACGGAGACATTGCTGTCTTAGAGTGATCAGCGTTAAGTCCGTACGCCAACCCAATTGAACATGTTTGGGACATGCTTTGGCGAAGAATACGAAGCCGTGTTCCTGTTCCTTTAACCTTGAATCAATTGCAACCTCTTTTAGAGGAATGGGACCTTATTCCTCAGGAAGACATTCGCCATTTGATATTAGGCATGCCAAGAAGAATGCAAGCAATAATAATTCAAGCACGTGGGAGCAACACCCGTTATTTAAAATGCGATTCTTCAGTTTTGGCTAGCAATACGTTTCAGTTTTCACCAATTCAAGGTTACTTTGGCACAAGGCTAATTCGTTTTTTTTTGTAGTGATTTTTTTTTAAATGTAACAATAGAATTTTTCTCTTGAAATAAACTGTTGTTAAAAATTACTTAAAACGAGTTTTTTTTTGTGTAAGTTGTTATAACCATAAAACATAAAAAACAATAAATGTCTTTTTTGTATATCTAAAATGTGCAAGTGTTCCTTCTTTCGTACCGGTGAGTAAGTATTTTAAAATTAAAATTAACACAAAAATTTGATTTTATGATTTTTACGAATTTATAAAATAAAATAAAATAAACTTGAAAAAAATTTGGTCTAACCAAAAACACTTATTTCAATAGTATCTGATGTGAGCATGTCAACAGGGAAACCTGAACGGGTTATCATCCACTTGGAAGGACAAACATCTCCGTATATAGATAATAAAATAATTTTTGGATTTTTTCCTTGTAATATTATTTGTGACACTTTTTTCCCTTATTGAATTTAAAATTTAGATTAAATCCCTAGGGATTAAAAAGAAAATATACTTAACCACTTAATGAACACATTTATTTTGATTTTTTGGTCAAATTTTTTTTAAAGTGAAAATTTAGTATTTATACTTAATAAAATTTTATTAGAATACGCTCGCATCTGAAACGAGCGTAAAAAAATATGTTAGTAAATATAATGATCGCTTGTGTCCCAGTCAAGCGCGTACATTGCCACTAAGACGCGCTCGTCATTGACACGGGCATGTACTGGGCATGTACGTTAAGTGGTTAATAGCACTGTTACTCCCTATAGAATAAAAATTACTTTATAGTACGATGTACTTATACCATACAACCGAAAATATAGTACAGAGTACAATATACGTCAACACTATAACAACCTTGCACTGTCATCGTCTTTGCTTTGTTATTAGGGTACCGTGGTTTTTCATATTTTTCATTATTTCTTTTGCTAAAGTAGGTATATAATAATACATTATACATCGAGGGTCTGAAGTGGCACTATTTGTCTCGAGGCGACCGGAGGGAGGGCTACAATTCATCGAGAGATAAAAAGCAGCCTGCAGTTTATACGGTATTTTTTGTACCTCAGGGACTAAAACATGCATTTT